GAACATTTACTTGTGCAAAACTTGTGCAACATAACTGCTAAACAACTTGTTTTCTTTAGATATGAAAAAAAAATAATCAAAACTGCTTTTGCAAGAAAATACAGGCAGTTAAATATTTCCTTCTGCCCTTGAATCTATGACTTCTTCTCGCTGTCTGTCAGACTCGTCATCTGCTGGCAGAAAAAAAAACCCTCGCTCTCGACTTTGTTGCAGGATATGTCATTCCTCAGAAACTTCAGCTTTCACTCATTCACCAGCTGCTCCAGCAGCAGCCTTCCTCGTGTCTCTCCCCCCCCACTCATGAGATGTGGTCCTTGAGTCGGACCGATTGTAGCCAAGTAAAAACCTGTTATAGCTGAATGTCACTGCTGTCTGTGTTCTGTGTTTCTTAAAGGAATTTCCGGACCGTCTCAAAAAGCACTGCCAGGTTGCAGAGACTGTTCAAACATTTATACAAGCTCTTGCCCTCAAATGCCAGCAGCACCCCCACTTCTTCATTCAGGCTCTGAGCCGAGCACCTGCTGCTGTCATTCTTTTCACCTCACATGAATACGTGTGTTAATTCCACACGATGAATTGCAGAATGTTTGCAAACATCACAACATAGATTCTGTCCCACTTTTTTTTTTTTTTTTTAAGGTTTTGTTTCCTGATTTGTCTCAAGCTGTGAAATTGATCTGGATTAATATAAAAACCAGTCCTACATCAAACCAGTTTTTATTCCTCTAAATCAAATTAACTCTCCTGGACTCCCACAGTCTGTGTTATTCATAGGACTGGCCAGCAATTTGCTGACTGAGTCGTTGCTTGCTCATTGTACACCATGTTGAGCAAGAGTGTTTTTTTATCTGGGTCATCAGCTAGGCGGCTGTGCTTGAGCTTCTCCTTTCCCTTGAGAAGACTACAGAACTCCTGGTTTAACTGCATCAGAGGATTTCATCCTCTGAAAAATGAATGCATATCAAATGCATATTGATTTTCTACTTGAGTAATGTTATATTTGTACTATAATATACAGTGATTAGCCATCATAATGGAAAATCTATGTGAATAATTATGACATTTGCTGCCTGCGGCCATTCAGTTAGAGTTGCAAAGTGGCTTTGTGTAACATTGTAAGTGCACACCGTGATGTATAAGGTAAAGTCAAGGACAGGCATGCCGCTATTGCTGCGTTTCAGTGTTTTATGTGGCGCACTGTTACATCTCTTCTGCAAATCCCACAAATGGAAATGGCTACAATAACAGCTCTTTAGGTGCTTCACACCAAACCAGCTTGCAGCTCAGCTGTAGGTAATGATGGCATTATCATTGATCCCCCACAAAGTAAGTCCACAGTGATCAATGCTTTCCCATGTGTTTTCCATGCAGACAGCAGTGAGATTAAGCCGCCTGTAGCAGGGGGGAGACAGTCTGCAGATTAGAAAGTTACAACTGAAGGGACTGAGAATTAGTTTTATCTATGTGTGTGTGTGTTGTCCCTTAGTCTCCCAGAAGCAGCTATAGGAAGAGTTTTAGGCCAGCATGTTTTTGGCTTTGGATTAGACCCGGCAGTAGTCTTTGCCAACATCTGCCTGCCATTACCCAGCTGACGCTGGCAGATGTTGGCAATGATTAATCGGACTGTTGTGATAGTTCCCGTTCGGTCACTCTGCACCTCAGGCACATCACTTAGCAGCAGGATGGGGGTCAGCGTTCACAGGGTCATATGTCCTGGGAGTTTTCTGTGTGTACCTTCCTAACTAAAGCAGAATGCAGGCCTGTAGTTACTGTGCAGGACTATCTCATATTAACCTGTCATGCTCTGCATTCCTGTGTGCAGTTCCACATTTGTAGCCTGCAATATATCTATTGCACACTGATACCCCGAGACTAAAACGTGTAGAAAATTTAAATCAGCTACAGATGGTAAAGTTATTTTAATCGTGTAAGTATGTGTGTTGCTGTATTACAGCTCTGATTTGCACTAGTTAATGAATGCTTTTGGCAATCTATGTTTGGTTATTAAATTATTGTTTTTAAATAACTATAAATAAACATCTTTGACAAACTAAGCGATTAATGGTTCATAAAAACAAACAAAACATCACTGCTTGCTTTTATGTATTTAGTGTTTATCTGGTCGTTTCAGTGGTTTTTCAAGCAGAACTTTTTGAGATTTCACTCCTGGTGATGTGAAGATTTTCCCATTTGGGGTGGCTGTAGCTCAGAAGGTAAAACAGGTCATCCACTAATTGGAAGGTTGGTGGTTTGATCCCTGGCTGCTGCAGTCTGCATGCCAAAGTATCCTTGGGCAAAATACTTTCTTCAAGTTTTTCTCTGATACATCCTTTGGAGTGTGAGTAAAGAAAAGAGATGAAGCGCTGCCATGTTTTTACAAATATTCTAAACAGGTGCTCATCAGTAGGGTGAAATGACTAAAAAACTTGCTGAGATTTAAAAATATCTAATAAAAAACTAGAAGCAAGGAAATGCACGACCTACGCGTATTGACTAAAAAGCCTTCATCAGGGAAAGATAGAAACCACTTGGAAAATTGCTTGTATGAATGGGTGAATGAGGCATGTTTTATAGAGGTGGTTTGAGTGCTCAAGTAGAGTAGAAAAGCGCTCCAAAAGAACCAGTTCACTAAAACATTGCAGACAAAATGGTTAGTTTATTCAAAATTGTTGGCAAAAAAACTCTTTACTTCCTGTGTTGTAAACCTATTTTTGAGGGATCAAAAGGAAAAAAAACCCCAAAACATTTACACAAAGCTGCACACAAGTTATGAAGAAAAGATGTCTTGTCATTACAAAAACACAGATTTCCCTTATTGATATTATGCAACGCAATCAGACTTGCGGCTTTCACAAACTTGCAGATCTATGGCGGTCATTCTAGGCAAGACAGGATCACATGCCTGTCGTGTGATTGGCCGGCCCTTTTCCTCATTCCTCTCCTTGACAGGCACGCTCACAGACAGATGCACAGCAGCTGTATTGCAGGATGCAGTTTTTCAGGGCGCAGTAATCTCTAAACATCAGAAATGCCAGCCACATGGATGCAGCAAGGCGAAGTGATCACTTGAAGCAGACAGAATGAAAAATGGCTTTTTCCCTCAGTTTGTTTTAAGATCTTATCTGCGTGCGCTGTGATCAAACCAGGCTGCAATGAAAGCGTTACATCCACAGATGTTTGAATCTACCAGTAGCCCGGGGAATAACATCCTTATCAAGAGGAGCTGTTATGTTGGAAAAAGGTAAACATCACCTGCATTCATCTGGTCTCTGCGACTGTGTCAGTCGGACCCGCTTTATCGAGGCTCGCTCTGAGTGTTGTTGGTTTGGTAACGTATTTGATAAGGTCTGTTTGGCACTTGGCCTCTCGCTCGACATCCTCAGGGCTTGTGGTGTGATGGATTTGTGGCATGCTGCTTCTAGAAGGAAACAGTTTGTATTGAAATTTAGATTATGCTTATGATGTAAGAGTCTTTAAGAGACATTCAGGGCTGTGGAAGAAGAGGTGCTGTGACTTTCAGTATTGCTGGTTTTTCCCTAGAGCTATCTTTTCCCAACATCTGCACACTGAAAATGCAGCTCCTGGGGTCTTTTTTTCCCTCTACTTTCTTTTTATTTTTTAACCAGTTCTGAGCTGTAAGGTACGCAAGGTTATTCTTGCACATACCTCCACTGGCCTCAGGAATTGAAATAAAACCAGCAACCCTACAGCTGGTTTCCTTTGTGTGTGCCTGAGCCTTTTTCTTTCCTGAGCTAGTGAAGATAATTCAGCATCACTCTCTGGGATAAACTGTTATCAAGGATGCTGAGTAATTTGAGGCAGTGATGAGGCTGGGATGCAGGCGGAGGCCTTTAATGAGATTTGCTCGAGGTACTCTTGGTGTTGGCTCGCTGTACGTTTGTAGTTTCGCAGTGATGGCTCTCCCTGGTTTTCTGCTCTTTCTGTGTGACTTTAAAAAGAGAGAACAATTGAAAGAAAAAGATACCTACCCCCTGGTATTTTGCAGCATACGGATGTTTTTTTTCTCCAGGCAGTCATGCACAGAATGCAGCAAAAAAACCCAAAAAAAACAACAACAACAACTGGATAAGCTGCAGAGTTTTGCTCTATACAATAATATTTATTGTAGCTGGATGTGGAAAGCTTGGCTGTAAATATTCCATATACACAGTTATTAACTGTATTTCTATTTCTGGGCTTTTTACCTCTTGCATATCTAAGTAAACAAACTAGGCCGCCCTTATTAATGGGAAAGTGACAAGTGACCAACCCTGCTGCGGCTAATGAGTTTCCTTTACTAACTGCACCCAGCCTTCTTCAAACAGAATTATACATCTTGCTCAGCTTTAAGTTTTGAGGTGCATAAAAAAATGTAACTATTTTGCCATATTAAAGCTTAATGCCAAACAGCTTTTCTTGCAGTTAAACAGAAATTCTTTTTTTTTTCTTGCTGCAGATAATTATTGTCATTCATTAGTTCTTTTTTCTGCTATTCTCCCTCTCAGGTTCCTAAATCAAGGAGGAGGAGGAAGAGTGGATTTCTGAGGCACAGTCTCTGAAGATATTTCTCTTGAGGGGTGGATGAAAGATGGATAGAACCGGCCCCTCTTAGCTGTCACACTCTGACCTCTGAGTAGCTATGTATTCCCTGCACCCAACGAGGAGGAACCCCTCCCCAGATGTGGGGCTGTCTTCTCACCCAGAGTTGGATTAATAGCCAGAGCTCACAAAAACAGAATGGCATTAGCTTGTGCAGACTATGACTCATCAGAATTCATATCAGAGTACAGGTGAGACTGAGTCTCTAGCCGATACCTGCAGGACTCTTAAGGAGAAGTAATCAGCCTTGGATGACCTTCACAGAAGGATAGAGTTATACCCCAGGTTTGATGAATTAGTGTCTATTCCACTGCCTTGTTGACAAGGTCGGCCATGGCTGCTGCTGATCGCCAGAGCAATGGTTCCCTGAAGGGACGAAGAACAGACTGAGAGAGTCAACAATGCAGCGCAACGGTGGCGGCGTAGGCGTTGGAGGCCAGCCGTGGATGTTTCGCCGCGTGCGTCTCACGTGGCTCAGTTTCATGCTCTTCTTCATCCTGGTCTTCTTCCCGCTTATTGCCCACTACTACCTCACTACCATTGATGAAGCTGGGGATCGCGACAAGCACATCTTTGGGCCCCGGCCTGGCGGCGAGCTGTGCGAGGCCAAACATGTGCAGGACCTGTGCCGTATCCGCGAGTCGGTCAGTGAGGAGCTGTTGCAGCTGGAGGCAAAGAGGCAGGAGCTCAATGGGGAGATTGCCCGACTTAACCTGCGCATCGAGGCTTGCAAGCGCAGCATCGACAGCGCCAAGCAAGATCTACTACAGCTGAAAAATGTTATCAGCCAAACGGAGCATTCTTATAAAGAACTGATGGCCCAGAACCAGCCCAAGCTGTCGTTGCCCGTCAGGTTACTTCCCGACAAGGAGGATCCGGGGCTGCCACCACCCAAGTCTCCACGCTCCTGCCGCCTGCGCTCCTGCTTCGACTATGCGCGCTGTCCCCTTACATCTGGGTTCCCTGTATATGTCTATGACACAGACTCCTACCCATGGGGGAGCTATATTGACCCTCTGGTAAAGCAGGCTTTTGTTGCATCAGTTAAGAGCAACATTTATGTAACTAATAACCCCAACATTGCCTGTCTGTATTTGGTTCTGGTAGGAGAGCTGCAGGAGTCCCCTTCCTTCCCACTGCCATCTCCTTCAGAGCTGGAGAAGCAACTGAAAGCTCTTCCTTACTGGAGGTCTGATGGACACAACCATGTACTGGTGCATCTCTCTAGAAAGTCTATGACACAGAACTTCCTGTATAATGTGAGCACAGGGCGAGCAGCAGTTGCTCAGTCCACTTTCCTGGAGCAGCAGTACCGTGACGGTTTTGACCTAGTTGTGTCCCCGCTAGTTCATGCCCTCTCTGAACCCAACTTTTTAGAAGTGCCACCTCAAGTTCCCGTGAAGAGGAAATACCTTTTCACATTCCAGGGGGAGAGGGTGGAGTCCCTGAGGAGCAGCTTACAGGAGGCACCGCCCCAGTCTTTCGAGGAGGAAATGGAAGGAGATCCACCAGCCGATTATGACGATCGCATAATCGGCACCTTAAAGGCAGTGCAGGACAGCCACTTGGATCAGGTCCTTGTGGAATTCACCTGCAAGAACCCGAGGCCAAGTTTGCCAACAGAGTGGGCTCTTTGTGGAGAGAGAGAAGACAGACTGGAGGTCCTCAAGGTTTCTACCTTTGCCCTGGTGATTGCTGCAGGGGATGGACAACTTGTAGCATCAGCAGGCTTTGGGATGAGGCTGTTTGAGGCTTTAGAAGTGGGGGCTATCCCTGTTGTCCTGGGGGACCACTCCCGACTGCCTTACCACCAGTTTATTCGCTGGAGTGAAGCTGCCATTTTGGTCCCCAAGCCCCGTGTAACAGAGCTACATTTCCTCTTGAGGAGCCTGTCAGACAATGACATGTTGGCTATGAGGCGACAGGGCCGCTTTCTGTGGGAAACATACTTCTCAACCTCAGAAAATGTTCTCAACACCATTCTGGCCAGTATCAGAACCAGCATCCAAGTTCCTGCTGCACCCATCAAAGAAGAGCCAGTTCATGAGATTCCCCACAAAGCCGGGAAGTTGGCTGGGACAGATGCCAACCTGGCCGACAACGGTGATCTGGATTTGGGTCCCGTCGAGACGGAGCCTCCTTATGCCTCTCCACGCTTTCTCCGCAACTTCACATATACAGCTGCAGACACTTACAGATCATGGAACCGGGCCCCGGGGCCCTTCCACCTGTTTCCTCACACTCCTCTTGACCCGGTGCTGCCCTCTGAGGCCAAATTCCTTGGCTCAGGTACTGGTTTCAGGCCTATTGGAGGAGGTACAGGAGGCTCTGGAAAGGAGTTTCAGGCTGCTCTGGGTGGGAATGTTCCCCGAGAGCAGTTCACTGTAGTCATGCTGACTTATGAGAGGGAGGAGGTCCTGATGAACTCTCTCGAGAGGCTGAATGGACTGCCATACCTTAACAAGGTAGTGGTAGTGTGGAATTCTCCCAAGCCTCCTTCAGATGACCTGCTGTGGCCAGACATCGGCCTGCCCATTGTGGTGAGTGTAGAAAGATTAATTTTTTTTTTACGTCCAACAATTTATCTAAATAAGTAAGGAAATCATCTCGTGCTCATCCTTTCTCTCTGAAATGCAAAAAGGTAACCTGCGATGTTTGATGTGTCAGATGAAAAGTTTCTTTGAGTACATCAGGATCAGTCTCTTTGAAAATCTGTTGGAGTCCATACAAATTACCAGCAGCTTTACTAAAAGGATTGAAGAAGCTTGACACCCATGAATAATAAAATCTGTGCCTTTGAACTAAGGATGAAAAATCAAATATTCATGTGTTTCACATCCACACCATTAGGTTGTCACACTGACTTTCTTTACATGTGGTGAGCTGATGGGGAGGTACTAAAGAATTTGGTGGTGCCAGACGGAAACTGATATACACAATCTTTGTCAGTGAATTATTTATAATATTAATTTGGTTAACTTAATCAACTAAATTAACCGATTAATGTGGGTCTTCATAGCAAAAACAAGTTACAGCCTTGTAACAAGCATTTTTTCCTTACAAATCGTAGATGACGATTAAGCATCATGCCCTCATGCTCCCATCGCTCTGTAATAGAGGACTCATTAGACCACAGGACCTTTTTCCATTACTTCAGAGTCCAGTCTTTATACTCCTTGGCAAATTGAAGTTTTTTTTCCCCTTAGTCACTTAATCCCTTGAGTTGTCTTTGCTTTGTGCATGTGAGAGTCCTTTTACTTTAACTGTTTAACACAGCTGTGACGTCTACTTTCAATTTAAGATTTGATTTCACTACATTTTTAAGAGATTTGCAGTCAAGGTTTCAGTTCACCACTATCCCTATTGCAAGTCGAAACACATTAATCGCAGCACTAATTATCCAATGATTCGTTCTTACCTATTTACCTGGTTAAATGCAGATGGGAATGTCTCTTTCCTCTCAGCAGGGCAGAGCTTTTATAAATGCAGAGTGTTACTGTTAGCTGCCCCCTTATTCACAGGGGGTCACCACAACAGGTAGCTCCACATGTTTGATTCGGCAGTGTTTTTGTACCCAGTGCCCTTCCTGATGTAACCCCGAAGGGATTTATCTCTTCCTGGGATTGCCCCAGGGATCTGTTGGTTGGAAGAATGTGTTAATGACTACACTGCAGAGCTGCTGTGTTAGAGCTGCATTAAAAAGGAAGAATGACGTTTAACGTGAAGACTCCACACCTCAGCTAAGACGTTACCGTGTTGTATGTGCTACATACAGTTCTGAGATTGTAATGGAGACACAGCCCTGTGTTGATCAATCTATTTGATCAACACAATATTTCTACATTACCTCAAGCATCATCTTTTGCATTACATTCCAGAAAAGGTTTTCACATAATGCACCAAACAATAAACACAGATACCAATATGCATCTGTCATCAGCATCATTACAGGCTGACTGATATGGACTTGGGCTCTAACTGGTCTCTAAAATGCTAATTTTTGGCACCGTATTAAAATAAAGTGCACTTAAAGCACTTCAGCTTAACAGCTTGCATTTAACAGCGATTTGCAGTAAGATACAGGAAACAGCGTTTTTAGAAGCAGTCACTACATAAGCAAGTACTACTAGATCTCATCTAGACTACTACTACTTCTCTAAAACGTGCTTTTTATTAAAGCTCTTGCTGCCTCTCCTCTCCTGCCTGCAGGTGGTCCGCACAGAAAAGAACAGCCTCAACAATCGCTTCCTTCCCTGGGATGCCGTGGAAACCGAGGCAATCCTGTCTATCGACGACGACGCTCACCTTCGCCACGATGAGATCATGTTTGGTTTCAGGTGAAGAAAAATGTTTTTGCTATCGCCTGGTGCACACTTGTCATTTCATTTGGTGTTTCGGCGTGCTTATTAAAAGCGTATTAACCCACCGTGGAAATTTTGCTGCAACATTGAAGATGAAAAGTTGATTTAATTAGAATTTTGCGACAAAGATCAACAGAAAAAAGTTCCTCTTAATTCTAATGTGATAGCAGAGCTCTGAAAAGGGAGCTAATTACAAATGCTAAGCACAGTACTTGTTTAATTATTTTCATTTTTATTGGTGTTGTTTTGTCTTGCAAGTCATTAACTGGAAAAACAATTCATAGATAAATTAAAGATGATAAGTTGTGAGCGGTGCTTTTCTCAAGAAAAGTGCTTCTGAAGAAAACTGAATGTAAACATTGAGTTAAATAAAAAGGAAGGAAGGGAAAATGCTCAAAATAATGTCGAAACATCACGTTTCTAAAAAACACTGGATCCGACAGAGAGACTGAACCTCCTGCTAGAGACCAAAGTATAGAAAATAAAAGGGAAATGTGCTGTCAGCGTCTTGCCCATACAGCACTCAGATGAGCTGAATATGAAGGCCGTGCTTAAACCAATTAAATGATCAAGCGCGCCGTTAAGTTATTTTGGTTTACAACCTCTCCCCTCTGTCAGACTTGTCTACGACTCGGTGCTGCAGCAGCTTGTCGAGGCAGGCAAAAACTTACTTGCCGAGCACGAGTACGCCGGGGTCATTTGTCACGAATTATCTCAAACTCTCCCAGAATTACACAGGAATGTTTCCCAATCTCCGCTCTCGCCAAAGAGGAGAAGCCAATCGGCAGCCGAGTGTGTTAGACATTTTAAGTGGTCTCACATGAACTCATTCGAGACTTTAATTTGCGCTTTGAGATTTCTTAGCTCTGTGAGTCCGAAGTAGGAATTTCAAGCATCCAATTTGAGGTATCGAAACACTTTTCGTGCACATTCCTGCAGTGAATCATAAGAAAAAAAAGGCTATATACTAATGGAAAAGAAAATAATTAATGCTTGACAGGAAAATGGTCACATTGCTTACTTGGCTAACAAGTTGAAACAGATGGATTTGAAAGGGCAGCATATGCACAGACTCTTGAAATCCAAACACAGAAATTTGTCGTTAACTCTAAAATAAAAGGGAACCATCACACGGTGTCTACATGTTGCTTAAGAAGTCTTCAAATATGTCAAATGCTTATTTATGAATAAAAGCCATTAAATTATTTAATAAAATTCAGTTTCTCTTTGGTCACAAATTTCAAGTGCACAGTGCTGTTGTTCTTGCACATTTTGTGCATCTAGGTCACTCAGTGCAACTGCATAGTTGAGGGTCAGGCTTTAGAGTTTACTGACTGGAAGTGCAATGACCAAATATTATTATTGGCTGGCGTTTTCCCCGTTATCTGATTTTAAGTAAATTAAACGGCATTTATTGGTGTTTGATAGCTGAATTTTGCAAAATGTTACAAAATTGTATAAGAGCTGAAAAGGTAACAGGTAAAGAGGTAAAATTATGTCAATAAAGATACATTAGCTGTCTTAACTGTTGTAGCTTATGCCTATAAACCTCCCTAATGCAAAAATCTTCTATCCTCAGGCCCGGTGTTTACTTCTGAAGAAGTGTGTCGCTTTTGATTTGTACACTGCTCAAAGAAATTAAGCGAACACTCGATCATCACAGTGGAACACAAAACCAGTTAAACTTCAGGGATAACAATCTGTCCCGTTACAAAGCATAAACCAGAACTGGCAGGTCAGCCACTGGCACCCGCTCTCTTGACAAACGAGAGCTGGATCACACCGAGCACATGTGACAGGCGCGATGGAGTCTGGAGACACTGACAAATATTATCATGCCTGGAACATGATGTTTGAAGAGATTGGGCACAAGTGGCTGACCTGGCGCTTGTGGTTTTCTCTGGCAGTGGAACTACGTGATGCTGGTCTGTGAGCATAGGTCCCACAAAAGGATGTCAGGCTGTCATGCCGCCCTCACAGAGTCTGATCAGTCAGTCAGAAAACTGAGTAGCCTAATGGAGGTCATTTCAGTTTTCAGTTATGCTCCTGCTGCTGTAGCTGTGTCCAGCTCTCCATGTGTGGTCACCCATCTTCTGGCAAAACCTACTCATGCACAAGCACATATGGATGTTCCATCCTGGAGGAGCTGGACTATCTGTGCAGTCTGAATGGACTGCATGATACCAGTAGTGACGATAACAATAAGAAAAATTAAAACTAGAGAAATATCACTTAGTAGGAATAGGAGAGAGCAATGGCCTGTGGGCCACCAGCTGCAAAACCACTCCCTTTTTGGTTGGGTTGTCTTTTTTTTTTTTTGCCACAGTGCAGGTTCAATTCAATTCAATTTATTTATATAGCAGCAAATCACAACAACAGTCACCTCAAGGTGCTTTATATTGAAAGGTAAGGACACCACAATAGTGGAGAGAAAATGTCTAAAATCAAAAAACCAGCTATGAGACAGCACCTGGCTAAAATGGGAAGCAAGAACTCCCTTTTAACAGGAAGAAACCTGGCAGACATTTGCCATGACTGTTTGGGGTTGATTGTTCTCACTTTAATTTACACCATAGGGGCTGAAATGGATTCACAATGATAGATGCTTTCTAACGGGACAGATTTTTAACCCTAAAGTTTAACAGACCTGTTTATTAGACCTGTGTTATACTCTGATGATCAACTGTTTCTCTAATTTATTTATTTTCTTTAGGATTGTATTTCCACTGCTCAATAGTTAAGTTTTAAATTGGTTTAAAGTGGTTTATTAGGAGGCTCTCAAAAAGGCTGCTTATACATGTAAGCTATTAATGTATGTAGTTTTTGATTCAGAGTAGCAGTGAGTAGGTAAAAGGATTTTGATGTGTTCTGACACATAGCATTATATTTGGTTCTAAACACTCAATTAGAAAGAATCCAGCTTTAAATGTTTCCATTAATGTTGTTGAGAGAACCTGTGAGACCAAGCTCCTCGACAAAACATATCAATATCATAGTTTCTAACAGGGAAACTGTATTTCTGGTGTTAAAAGATGTGTAAACCTAAATCAGTCAGACGATTTATCCTGGCTTTGATATTGTCTCTTTGTGATTACTATCTAGTAGTATGCTGTAGTGGCACAATGCGATTAAAGAAGCGCAAGTGTTAGAAAATAGAGAGGCATGTGTCATCCTTTGTATTTGTATTCATGATAAATATTATTGTTACAAAGACTCAAATTGTTTTGTGAAACAAATTTACCATATCAGTGAAGACGAGATTATTCTATCAGACGGCCTACAGGAGGACATTTTTTATTAGGCATAGCACGACACAGTTCAATTAAAAGAACATGTTTATACAACTGAAGGAACTGAATTCATTGGCAAAACAGATAACACAAAAAAACCCAGTAAAAGTTTAAAACAATCTCTCTATTTGATTGAATTAGTGCGTACGCTGTAATAATTGGTGATTCATTAAAATGTTATGTTCTATTATGTAATGTCTCAATGCTTTTCCTAATATGGGCCACAATTTATGTTGTAAGCCGCTGAGTGTTTGTATGTCGTTTGTTTGTTTAGGATGTTATAGTGCGCTATCAAAGATTTGTGACCCCAGGAGCTGAAGCTGCTGTATTGCTTCAGCTAACAGCAATCGTGCTAAACTAAACTGCACATGTAAACACCCTGCATCTCAATTAACTGATTTAAATTGGAATATTTTGTGGACTTCTCTGGGTGGCTCAGAGTGTGGCGTGAGGCCAGAGATCGCATCGTAGGTTTTCCTGGGAGGTATCACGCGTGGGACGTCAACCACCAGTCCTGGCTCTACAACTCCAACTACTCCTGTGAGCTCTCCATGGTCCTGACAGGAGCTGCCTTCTTCCATAAGGTCAGAAAATGAAAACGGCTACACCCCGGTAGGTTCACATCTGGCTGTGTTGGAACATATCATTTACATATTTCCCCTGGTCCTTGTCTTCTCGCAGTACTACGCGTACCTGTACTCCTATGTGATGCCCCAAGCTATTAGGGATATGGTGGACGAATACATCAACTGCGAGGACATCGCCATGAACTTCCTCGTCTCTCACATCACCCGCAAACCACCCATCAAGGTCAGTGACAGAGCATGCAGTCTGACTCTGGGGGCTTTGCACCTCCTTCAGGACGTGGGTATTTATATTTCTGCCTGCTTAGCCTTGCCATTACTCAAACTGGCATATCCAATATTCCGCACAAATTATACTTTTTAAAAACACAAGATCGAATCCGTGCGTTACGGCAGATTTCTTTTCTTCTCTCTTTTCTCCTGGATTTTTATTGGAAGGACATTTATTGCCGCTGAGCACACTTATGGCTAGACAAATAATTATAGCAATCAAGCTAGGGAAGCTGTTAGAAGAGAAATGTCATTGCAGCCCTCACTTTAAGTTCTTTTTGATTTAGTGGGGTGTTAATATTCAGGGGCGTTTCAGAGGGGAATTAAGGACGTCTTTGATGGAGTGTGTTGCATGACAGTGTTTTCGCTGCTAGGAATAAGTCTTGTGAATAATGAATTTGGGGCAACTTTGAACGAGTCGTAAGCGGTGAGGGAATCTATTTTTCTTTAAAATAAGACAAATAAAGAAGAAAATAAATGGATTTTGTTGTGCCATTGGTGAGGAATTGATATCTTGTGCAGATTTTTCAAGCTTGCTTCTTCTCCTCTTCCTACAATAATAAAAACAGCTGCTAGAGTTTGCTTTGGTTTGTTGTCAGATTCAGTAGCTTGCTGCAATCTAGCTGATTGACATCAACTGTTTGCTTGTAATGTTTCAAGCTAACATTTTTTTTAAACAAACAACTAAAATATGATAAAAAGGTTTGACATTGATGACTTGAGAAATTATACAATGCTAGAAACAAACGATGGACATGTTTGTCGGGAAAGTCAGCATGGGCGTGGTTAAAAACATGCACTGTTTTTGCAGCATATAGAGTCATGTTTCAAACAGTGTTGTTTTAATAGTTTCAGAATAAAAGCAGACCACTTCACTGCTGCAATAACCTGATAAAAATGAGAGCAAATTGTAAATCAACTGGTATTTGTAGCACCTTTCTACTCAGGTGAGCGCTTTCTACTACAAAACTCAGTCAAGTGCTTACGAAGAGTCACACACACTCACGCTTTGATGGATGCATCCCTGGAGGAGTCAGTTTGATCCACCAACGTTGGTTTTATATAAATTTCCCTGTTCGCCTTCTGTGCTCCCCCCGACTCTTTTTCTTTTCCCGTGCAGAGTTTTCAAAAGTTGCTTCAGTTTTTCCAGCATCAACCATTTCAGCTACTTTGGGAAAATCTATCAACTGTTGCTGTAGGAAAACAGAAACGTTATCCTCTTCCTGCTTTGGCTACGTGATCAAGCCTTTGTTTAACCCTTTGTTTAGAGTAGATGTCCTACCACATTTGGTACAGGGCATCAGTGAGCTACTGGATCTTCCACAGTGCTCTTCAACATTGTCTTCGATACATTAACATCTCAGCGGTTCACAGCTGGATTCAGGTGTGGGGAATGTGGGGTCCAGTCGGTGGCATCAGTGTCCTCATGATCCAGGTAGTGCTTACAAACCCTGACTACATTAACCTGGGCGTTGTCCTGCACCAGGAGGAATGCAGGGCCCACTGCACCAGTGTTAGGTCTGAGGGTTTCATCCCTGTACTGATGGCTAGAATCTCGAGGTCTGTGTGACCCACATGATCACTGATTCACTGCCAAACTGGTCACGCTGGATAATTTTGCAAGCAGCACAAAGTTTGCCACGACATCTCCAGATGTTTTCACATCTGTCACATATGCTCAACATAAAGCTGCTCATCTCTGCAAAGAGAACAGGACATAGGTGGGAGACTTTCCAGTTCTGGTGTTCTCTGGCGTTTGCCAATCAAGCTGCGGGGTTTAGCATGTATTAGCATTTAATGATGATTAATGGCCGTCTATTAATGATAAACTTCTTCCCTCTCACAGCAATGTTGTGAAGCACCACTTGCTGAAACTATATATAATTACATTTCAGTAATGCATTTGCAAACTCGCGTTTCTTACATTTTAAGCACTAACCCCCTGCTGTCTATTTCAGGTGACGTCTCGTTGGACTTTCCGCTGTCCGGGCTGCCCTCAGGCCCTTTCGCACGACGACTCGCATTTCCATGAGCGACACAAGTGCATCAACTTCTTCGTCAAAGTCTACGGCTACATGCCGCTGCTGTACACGCAGTTTCGTGTGGACTCGGTGCTGTTTAAGACTCGATTGCCCCACGATAAGACCAAGTGCTTCAAGTTCATTTAGCGTCTGGGCGAGCGTCAGCAAAGAGCCAAAAGCAGGGTGAACTGAAGGAGTGAAAATAGGAGTGAAAAACAGCACCTTCCACTGCAAGCAGTAATAAAGATGGATGGGTGGGCTGCAGGGCAAATGGAAAGTAAGCCCAGAAAGACAAGTTAAAAGCTGTTGGCTGGCGGTCTAATCAGCAACACTACTAAAAATGTGAGGAGTGGAAGCTGGAAGGGACCACTGCCAACAAAAAGAAGCCTTTTCAGTGGATGTCACTCTTTTTCCCCGTGTTCTCTAATCATGCTCAGTCATCAAACCACTAGCTGCAGATGTCATTTGCACCTCTTAACCGCCTGCTGAGGAACGAGGGCGGGGTGTACACAGTGTACAGAAATTCTCCCAGGTTAGCAACACCTGATGATGGGGTTGGCGAGTAACTGACAGATGCCAGGCTGCGTTTGACCCAGCAGACTTTTAACGGTTACAGCTGAGAGATCAAACAGCACACGGCCGCCACTACGCTTTTGTTTTACGGTTACAAACTGTACGTCTTGTACATGTATATGAGCGAAGCACTGAAGGTCAGAAGTATTTTATTGATCTTTTTTTTTTTATGATGTCGTTTAAGTGTAAATCTTTATGTGGAGTGAACCTTTTCCACAACCCCTGCCTGTGGGAGATCAGGCAGGACCTCGATTGAAAGTCAGCCCAATCATGTTTTAAGTATCGTCGAGTGCTCAAGGGGGAAAATTCACTTCAGCGGTCACCATAATGCCTCAAATTTGTCATGAAAACCAGCCACCATTTTGTCATTTCATATTGCTTACACGATCTGGACTCAGTGGAAGTGTTTGAAACAGCTTGATTTTTTTTTTTATACTATGATGTTTGTAAAATTAGACGTTAAAAAGTAGTATCGGCTAATCAATGTTCCCAGGTAAAGTGCAACAAAGTCAAGAATAACAGCTGCCAAAATCAACAAAACATTGACTTTATTATTGCTGAAAGTTTTCAGTAATGGTCAGAATTATAGGAAAATCTTAAAGAGAACAATGATATTTTGTTTAAAAACACTTACTTTGTTTCCGGTGGAGAAGTGGAGCAGGATATCAATCCCTTTCTCCAAACAGGCTCTTAAATATCAAATCAAAGCCAACAGCTGATGACCTTAACGTAGCATAAAATAAAGACTGGAAACTACCCTGGCTCTGCTTAATGGTACCAAATACTGCCCAATTGCACCTGTAAAGCACACTAAATAATCCAATGGTTCTCAAACTGTGGGGCCAGCCCCACTCTTGGGGCATAGACCCCCTGAAGGTGGGGCTTGAAGGACAAGGAAAGAACTCCGAGCTAAAGTGAATGGAGATGGTTTTTGTATTGTAAATAAATTGACGCTATGACGCTGACATTTATTTTACTTTAACATTAAACTTGTTATTGTCACAGACAAGTGGGAGTGATTGAATTGCGTTTGATTCGTGTATTGCTTTCCACCTGCTTTAATACTGAGGATTATGGCAGCGGGCTTGTGTATGTTCTCTACAGAGGAAATAAAAAGAGGAGGGTGATGGGGAGAAAATAATGTGTAGTCAGGTCCACAATAGTGTATACATACCACCAAGGAGAGCAGCCAATTGTATTCAACCTTGCTAACACACAGCAACGGATGAGCTTATCAGCAGAAGGGGTAAACAGTGATGAGTCATAACCTTTGCCTGGCTCTTTAATCCCCTTCTTACAGTTAATAGGAACCGTACACCAACAAGTTGACATTAGCAAACTTGACGGTTGTAAATTCCTGGCCTGATGGGCGGCTGGGTTTGTATACAGTAGTGTAAAAGCCTGGGTGTCGGGCATGTTATAAAAGCTTTGAGAACCATTGAATGAACCCTTTTTGATTCATTTTATGGGGAGATTTGCTAAAATGTTTATACCGTTTCCAGTCTTTGCATTAAGCTAACAGCTGCTGGCTGTAGTTTGTTCAGTCACAGTAGGGAAAACAGGTGTTGGAAACTATCGCAGACAAGTTGCACTCATCAGCCCTGACTGACTCAGATTGATTGCAGTCAGTCACCACAATCTGTCTTCATTTGTAACTTAGGCAGCACTTCTGTGCAAGCCTTTGCCAATCTGTCAGAGTGATTGCATTTGGTTGAAGTCACACCACGACTGTTTGGAGACGGGTTGGGTTCTAATAGGCAACTGGTGCAGTCTCCTCTGAATCAAAAGTGCCCAGAGTTTGAGGGTGCTGCTTACTCAACCTGTAGGCAACCAGTTGCAAAAATGCAACCAAAAAAAAAAAACCTTCAATGTTTTGGGTTTTTTTCATAGTCACAAGCAGGTTGCCATCCTATTTTTACTCCAGTGTGACCGAGCCATAACAAATATGAGCTTGCTTTCCACCAGCAGGCAAGCCTGTTTTCTAAACTGTACAACTTGTCTTTAAACACTTCTAACTTTTCAGTACAGGTATTCAGTATGTTCCACCATAATCACGTCATCCCTCTGCAGAGAACTCTCCCACCTCGGACAAAAAAGTCACTTTACAGTGTCGCCATATTGGTTTCACTTCATCTTCGACTGTTGCTTGATGAATGTTTTCTTTGCCAAATAGGTACGTTGTCTGCTGCTTTCCAGCGTAGTTTGCAGGTGCAGATACTAGGTGAAAGGATGCAGTCTGGTACACCCACTTCCACTTTGCATGGTACTTGACCAGAAGTCAGTCCACTGGAGCCCAATCCATCATGTACGAGTGCTTTATTTGACCTTGTCAAGACTTAATTCATGCAATCTAAATAAAAGGCATAAGATTCTTATAAATGTCATTCAGATTATGTTCTGTGAGGATGTTTTTATCAAACAAAATGTCATAAGGCCAGAGTTCCTGTGTATTTATTGAATATATTACTGAAAAAGATTTTTGTTTTTTAAACCGATACTGAAACATGCAATAAACTGTCAAGATATTGTAGTTTAATAGACCTGAAAACAAAGAAATCTCAACCTGACTGTCAAACTTGTCATTGCCAAAGAAAACTAGCTGGTGCCACTGACTGAGAGCTAATGGATGACTTGTTTTTAAAAAGATTAATTTGAAAACAGATAGTGAGGGGACAATAGTGGAGTTTCTTTGAATCCGAATCTCCGCCTGCTCCATATTGCTACTCTTGCTCCGTAATCCCTCCAAGTGAAACATAAAAATGTTGGATCAGGCCTTTTTACCCAAGAGGGATAAACACGGAGCCAGATTTCTAATTAGTGTGGGCGAAAATGGCTGCGCAGAGTCCAAATTTCCACTTTGTGTTGCTGCACTGAACTAGAAAAAACAGCCTGGCTCCTAACCTCATGTCTGAACACTTTTATTGGCACTCCAGGGGCCTCATAATTACCTGGCTGACTCTAAAACAGTCCTCGGGGCTCTGTTGGGGTCAGCTGGTGTTCCTCCGGTCCCTGTAGTTCCCACCCTCGAGGATCTGTGGCACAGCTGGTTTTCTGTGGCTCGGAGCAGGATGAATTTGCCTGGAAGGCTGCAGTCACTCTGCTAGGTGTAGAGTTGTGAAAAAGGAAGAAAAAAAAAAAGTGCTCCTGGGTCTGATCCCCAGCTGTGGGTGAGGCTCCAGCCACCTGCAGCGTTGTACCAGACTGATGACTGATGACAGCGTCAAACATACCATTGAAGGCCAGATGAATGGAAATAAAAGCTCTCAACGTTGTTAAAAAAATATGACTCTTGTCCTTATTCAGGTGTCTGTTGGAAATCTGCTCCTTAGACTTGGATCAGGACATTTTGGGAAGTAATTATTTGCTCTTTAGTGGAGTTCTGTCAAGGGGGGAGGTGCTGCATATATTGGCAACCTACCACTTCCCAGAAATTTCCCATTTCTGACCACAATGCACTAATAGTTGGAGTTCCTACTTGGTAAACTTTGGTGGGGCTTCTCTGCTTTGACGTTAATATTTTCCATCATTCCCCAAAATGACAGCTTTCTTCCCAGGTAATAAAACTAACCACCTACCTTCAGGTGACCTTTTTAGCTCTTTGGTGTCTTCGGTTAAGTGAACAACACTTACCTGTTTAACTTCTTACTAATGCAAATATCTCATCGGCTCAAAATAGTCTCACTGTTTTTACGGATTTCTTAACAAGTCAGAGAGTGCTCGGTCCTAAAAAGGCCTCCAAAGTCACAACCTAACCTCAACCTAATAGAGCACTTTTGGAATGTGGTGGAACGAGAGATCCGCATCATGGATGTGCAGCTGCGTGATGCTATCATGTCAACATGGACCAAAAATATCTGAGGAATGTTTCCCGCACTTTGCTGAATCTACGCTATGAAGAACTGCGCCTAATAAAGTGTCCAGTGAGTGCACTATAAGTAATTTTTCCCAGAAATAAAACACTGTCTGTTCCACTTTGTGCGCAGATCAAAAATTAGTAAATGACTTTTTCCCCCTTTGTAGTTTTGTGAAAATTAAGGCAGAAACCTTAAGAGATGTGAAACGTATATGATGTAGTTACTAGTTGTTCATAACCTGCTACACAAAAATGTGATTTGTCGGGTAGACCTTGATATCTTTAGTCACAGCCACTTCCAGGGCTGCCTGCTGTGTGTGTGTGTGTGTGTCAAAACTAACTCAGTGGCCAGAGTTGGGAATGAGAGGCAGGTGTTTGAAGGAGGAGAGCATTACAGCATCATATGCTGATCTGGAGTCTGGATCTGTCTAAGTAAATATTTTAACAATTTTTTTACAATGTACTTTATTAATATTTTTTTAAATGTAATTTTTATGCGAAATGCATAATGATCCATCTATCCAGCCAGCCCATGAATATTTCATCCCACACTTCGAAAGCAGCTCATTTAAGCAGGAAAACCACAGACCTGGCAACCCTGGATGTTTTCCTCCATTTCCAGTCTTTAGGCTACATTAAGCTGGCTCGGACTGCACATTTGCCATTAAAGCTAACTCTCCAAGAATGCGAACAGGCCTGTTCCCCGATATTGTGTCAATGGTTATCAGTGCTGGCTAAACACAACCTGCACTTTAAAACTAAGTGCACACCAAACTAAAAATTTTCTGTTATTCCTGATTGTGAAAAAAATGATCATCTATTAGAAAATCTAGATAACATCTGTTTTTTATTAAAACCTGCAAAAACCTCTTTTGAAAACTTGAAATTGTCCCAACAGAAGCTCTAAAGGGACGAGGAGTGGTTGCAGTATTCATAAGTGAGAAGAAGGGTTCAAATCTGACATCACTGGGACAGAGAAAGAAGAATGCGCCCCACGCCTCTCGGTTTCAACCAGCAGAAGCAGGGGAAAGGGTTTCATTCACTAATACAAGGGTGTGGCTGTGCAGTCTTCAGCATTCTTATCGGGGGATTTTCTGACTCATAGCTGCTCTTTCAGAGGAGTTTAAAATGGCCTTTGTTCCAGATGAACCCCTCGCCTGGATAATAAGATTTCTCAGTTCTGAACAACATTTTTTTTTCCCCGTTTTATTTTAGCCTTTATTTAATAATGAAAATGAGAAAATATGATCATCTCCTTCTTGTGATTTGTTTCGCCACTCACACTCATTACAGCGTACACAGTTGAGGCAGAAACGGCCAGGTTTACTTGGCCTGTGCAGGCTTTTGCATATTCCTCCTCAGCGGGAAGCACCATGTTTCTACATGAATGAACATGGCTGAGTTGTTAGAAGGCTGAATAGTGAAACAGGCTCGATCTGCATTACACAGGAAAGGAAGCTGCTCTTTGATACCGGTGGCATGCAGAGCTGTGTCCAATTCTGTAAGAGACTCGGCAAGCACAAGAAAGAATTGCATTCCTCTCGTCTAAAGTGGCGTCAGATGCATAGTGCACTGAGTTATGCAAGACCACGAGATAAAAAAGAAAATCTGTCTTTGTTTAACGCACAGCCCACAGAAACGACCATAAAACTGGTAGACTAGGAAGAATAACCCAAGAACGTAAAAGGAAAAACCAATGAATGGATCTTGCATAATGTCATGTGCGTGTAAACAAACTGTATAAAGCATAGCTTGTAAGTATAGCTGCAGCATGTTATAGGCCCTTTGTAACAGTCTTCTTCATTCATTGTCTTTTGTCGGTGGCTACGACTGATTGAGAAATGTCTGGTATGCTGGTGGCAGCTGAAATCCAGAAAAGGAAAGAAGGAAGGAGCCTGCTAGTACTGGACCGAGCTCTTTGGTCCAAGATTCAGAGGCGAAAAATGTCTGGAAGTGTCTTAACATGGTCCTGTAAACAAGGCGGAAGCAGGAGTCAGCCCATCTGTCTCAGAGAAAGGTGGCAGATTAAAGGGTATTCATGCAGTCTGGCAGTTAAGACTGGGAACCCATGCTCACCTCTCACACCTCTATGCAACACACACAAAACACATCCCACAGGGAGTTTTCTTGCGCTCCGAAAATGTAGAGGGAATGCTCTTTCTGGAAGTTCGGTCTTGGAAAATCGTCCTCCTATGTGTCGGTGAGGGTGTGCCAGTGGCAGACCTGCTGTCCCTCCGCCTCCTTCATCTCTGTCCAGTGGGCCTGCTGCTCCTCGCTGGTGCTGTTGAGGCCCAGGGAGACCCAGCCCAGCCTCTCCCTGGGCCTCATGCTGCTCCGGCGGCAGAACACCGACACCACCAGTGACACCTCGGACAGTTGGAAGAGCGCCACTTGGAACACGAATGTCTCCTTGTAGATCGGATTGGGCTGGCCACGGCAAACGGCCGTCTTACACTTGGACATCTCCTTTCCCTTTGAGTCCAGCATGGTCAGCTTCACATAGGTGTCTGAAAGGAAGCATTGGAGGAGAGAAGTGAGACATTGCCATCAAGTGGTCGGACATGTGTACTACAGCAGGAGGTACGGAGTGTCTTTTAATAATAGCTCTCAACACCAAGAATGCTATAATTGCCTCACTCCTAAAACTCATGCTGCTGATGGATTTTTTTAAGGCAAACTGTGGAACTCTTTGAAAACTGCAAATGAAGTCACATTAATCTATTTCATATTTGCTGGCAGCAAATTTCTGAAATATTCTGCACATAAATTATAAATGATGCCAAACGGAAGTGACCTTTAGAACATGCAAGCAAGTCAGTGCAGGGTAGAAAAGTAAAAACTTTGTGTCTTGAGAGGAACTACTGACTGACATTTCTGGGAAGCTACTTTCTTGCCAAGATACTGAGCTATATCAGCTTAGTAAATATGGAGTTAGAGCCTGGAGAAAGTTGGATTATCTCAGAGTAACAACAGAAGAAAACAGCAAACCAGCCAAGGGCTGACCTAATTTAACTAATTCTGTAGAGTCAGTCTAACGCTCCTCTGACTGTGCCACTTCTCATGTTAGCAAGCTGTTCCCTCGATGCTTACATTTGGAAACCGCATACCTGGTTTACAGGGGTTACTACTAAAAAAACAACTGTGTCTGTTAAACTAAAAACACATTAAACATTAATAAAAAAAAAAACTAAATGCACTACATGGATCTGCACTATTAGCCAAAAGTTTCCTACCAATCAAATCTTTAATTCATCAAATGTTTTTGTAACTGACATTCGTTCACCACATTAATGCACAACTAGCTAAGCTCCCAGCTCTAGATTTATATATAACATAAAGAAGTGAGAGCTGAATTCACCCTGTCTGACAAGAAAGCAAAATGCTGAAGTCTGGCCTCAGAGGACCAAACCTAAGAATGCTACAAACTGGTACCTTCGGTGCATAATGTAGTGCACAAAAGTCTTGATCTACCTCCCATTTCTTTATATTTTGCAAGAATGAATGAAATGAAATGTGCAAATAAATACATGGAAACATGCAGTAAATAAGGAAAATAAAATAAAGTTTGTAAAATTCTAACAAACTTGGTATGACCACCTTTGTTCTTCAGCGCAGTCTGAACTCTCATAGCCAAGCTTTCTTGTAATTTCTCTAAGTAGTCTTCTCCAGGCCTCTTAACAGACATATAAAGCTCTTCTTTGGATGTTGCCTGCCTTTTGTTCTGTTCTGTCAACATGATCCTACCATTCCCCATTAAATTAGACCTGCTTGCACTGATTTTCAGTTCGGTTCTTGCGTAATTTAGCATACCTCATCCTTTTCTCCTTGTTTCCCTTCCTTAAGAGTGGTTTCTTGACAGCAACATTTCCACTGAGACCACTTCTGCTGAGGCTTCAGTGAACAGTAGATGGATCAACTCAAGTTTCAGATGCATCTCCTGCAAACGCGGTGCTAGATTTTTTCTTAGTTTGTAAGGATGGGACTCATAGCATTCCTCTGAAAATGGTCAGGTACAAGGACTGGACTGAAAATGAGTGAAAAAGCATCCAATGCCCAACAAAAAGCTCTGAAGGTCCTTCAGAACGCCTGGAGAACTATTGCTCAAGATCACTTTTAAAAATTACAATACAGCCTGCCAATATAAAGAGAAAAATGTAAAGGAATGGGAGATGGGCCAATACTTTTACACAGTTCTACACATCTGTACAACTCTCACCAAATCTACAAACGTACAGAAAGCTTACATTTAGTTTACTTTTGTCTTACCTCTCATGATATAAAGCTGTCCCCCTACGAAGTGTTTTACACAACAAAACAGACCATCTGTGGCAGACACACACCATAGCACACACACCATTGGAAAGAAGAAAGAGGGGAAGCAGTTTAAAGATTTCGATATACAGCAGAAGGTCAGCTTTCACGGGAAGC